AATGCCTTCGCAAAAATCCGTGGGCAGAATTATGAAGGTGTTGCTATCTTACTAAATATGTATACTTCAGTTTTAATCTTAAATATAATATTCCAGTATAAATAGTAATAAATAATGATTGATATGGTAATGCCATAATAATAAAAATTAGTTATTGCATAACACATCCTGCCTAAACAATTGTCAATAGACAATTTACTCTCTAAACTAAGTGGTACGTCCAATATGGGCACAAGAAATTAAAGTTTATAAACAGGGTAAAGATCAAATCATATAGAATAATGAAAAAATACTGATTGGAGGAAAATCGGTATATATGGAGGACTTTGTTCGAAATGGAATAATGAAAGTATCTGATCTTTTTAACGCAAATGGTTTGATACCGTGGCAGTCAATAGCACAGGAGGAATTTACCCTAATACATAAATTAAGATGGCTAGGTTTAGCATCAGCTATTCCTGGGGATCTAAAGTATGGAGAAGCGGATCTGGAATCTACTTATTTCAAAATTACAGGAATTCCTATGGATCTGGAAACCTTAACTAAGAAAGATGTCAAAAATGAATTATGTGAAAGGTCATTTGTTATCCCTGCAAGCCAAAACAAACTACAAATGGAATTGAGGGAGGGGTGCATTGAATGGGGAAAAAAGATATAAATTTATGATGAAAATGACAACTGAGAGCAAAATGAGAGAATTCCAGTGTTCAAGCTCCTTCATAATATTTTATATACAAACCAAAAATTACACAAAATAAACCCTCAGAAGTATGTCAGCCCACAGTGTACATTCTGTGACGGGGAAGCCGAAAGCTATGAACATCTGTTTTATGAATGTCAATATGTTATATCTCTCTGGAGTGAAATCCTCTTTTGGTGGGGGGAACCACTTAAATTAAAGTCACCACCAAGTAGATTGTGTATGATTATATCTAACCCAGATGATACTTTGATTGTAAACTTTATATCTCTGTTGGTAAGAAAACATGTATACTTTTGTAAAATGGAGGAAATTTCGTTGGCTTCCTATCTTACTGTAAAAGAATTTACCAATGTGAAAATCATATAGCAAAAAAGTACAATAAGATGGTTTCACATCTAAAAAAAAGTGGTCTCCTTTGTTACCATATGTAAGATAAAAAAAGAGGTACTACTATATATGTATAATAGAATACAGGAATAGAACAACTCAATGTAATTTCATAACAATGTAATGTATCAATGAAGCGCCTAATAAAAAGTATATAAAAAAAAAGTAGTACGTCCAGTCACTTTATAACAGTGCACTAACATACATGTTAAGACATATCCGCGTTGATGGTTATGAATATTGTGACATAAATGTCCTAACTAATTACAATACACTCATTTTATCATTCCAAAAAAATAATAATAAACTTGAGCTAAATTTCTCAAAATTTATTTTCATGGGGTCACCATAGAAATGGCACAACAAACTATAATAATGTTCGTTTTCCAAAGCATTCACATTATGATAACCATAAAGTCTTAATCAAATCTAATGTGAGAATTATGAATATGCGAATACAATACAAAAACTATAGGGATGCATTCAGCACTAAAACGCATGAACCTTCCACCCCAATTGTCCTCAAAAATATATTATTAAAGTAAAATGACATTTTAAATAGCATAGAAGATGCCGTCGTAACTGAAACGTATGTCATTAACGCCCATATATGACACGGTACTGACAGAGACTGGGTATTGACAGAAAATTGAATAAATTTGAATAGAAATATAAGCAAAAGCACCTGCCGGTAGTGAAGGGTGGGGTGCCTACCAGCAAATGTTCACCATTTGTTATTTAATTACATATATTCAAGCCCAACATCCATAAAATTATATTTCCAAATTATTCATGCCATATTACCTCTCGTGCCTGTAATGCAAATCACGGGGGATTTATAATTTCATCTAATTTAGGTATGTATTGAGCGTTGACATTTTTAGTTTGGCTAGTATTACGTCATAAACGAATGATTGTATTTAACTATTCAAATCTGTAGGTTTTCACGCGATAATTATCATTTATTTGTGACTTTGCAGCTATATGTTTGATTTGTGTTCGAGTTTATGGGTCGTAAACCAACCTTGAACGAGTTGGGGTTGACGACGTCAGTGAACAGGATATCACGTGCCCCAGAAATCCACCAATGAAGTGTTAGAATACCTGTCGCAAATTCTGTATACGTAATAATGAAACTCTTTCAACTATACATCATTTGAACATCATATTTAAATATGGGGGGGTAGGCTGAACGAATTTTGGTTTCCGGAAATATTTAATTCACATATATCACACGCCATTAATTTCACTCACGTGTTTGTTTGTTTTTTTCAATTATTTTGCCTTGTAGAGTCATCATGGACAATTTTTTTCTATTTACCAAAGCACTCCCCCAACAAAAATCACTCAGGCCTCCACCCCAGTTGTAAAATGGCTATTCCCTTACAGATGGGACATATCGTGTTTTATCGTGCATAGTATATAATTATGGTTGCGTTACATCCGCGACCATAGGATGTGATGATTGGTGTGCGTGTAACTCGCCGAGTGAATACCTCATGCATACCGAAAACATACGTTCGGTCATTGTACCTTCTATAGAGTCTATTATTGTAAGAAATATGCAAATTTGTACGCATTATTTAAACAATAATGAATCCCAACAGCGTCATATTGTATGAGTACATGAGTCTATGGCGAGAGCCTCACACATTATCGTGCCCAGACCCTTCTAAAAATCCACTATAGCGCTGTTTGGTATCACTATTGTTGTCATAACTCACTAGCATCAGAATTAAGCAAATTTAGTTAAATTTACTTACTTAGAATTTACTTGTGAGTAGAGGTTTACTTTGTTATGTGACAATGTAAATCTATGACGTAATAAAACCACTAATTAATTGATATTATATAAATAGACATATTCGTCACGTCTCGTTGTGTTATGTTTGATTCTAGCGAAATATACAACGCGTGAAAATTCATTGTTTACATGAAATTGGAATGATTTTAATTTCATTTAGTTTTGGTAGGCAGTGTTATTATACCATACTGTATCCACGTGATTTAGTTGTGTAATTACTGTATTATGTCTCACTCGTTATAAGGGTACGACTTAGTTAAAATGTTTAATTTTTAACCCTTGCCAGCAAAAAAGAACTATCGTAGGGGGTTGATGTTATATTATGAACCCACCCGTAGAAAGCGGTTTTTATCAATGTTCATACTAATAGCTAACATTTACTAACATATGGTTTTTTAGACTGCCCACGTATTCTGTCAGCTTAGTACCATGCATTTATTGTACAACAAATAACCATCGACAATATATTCTGGTTGCATTATAATTTATGCTAATTGACCCATGTGTGCCATTTTGCACTTTTATGATGGTTTTACGATATATTGGTCTGTTTAATATATTACCACCGTTTCGACGAGCAACACAGGTGCCAGATGTTTGAAAATGTCAAAACAATCGAACAAGAGATATTTAAGTTTTTCAAATTGAAGAATTGCAATGTTTCTTTTCAAATTAATTCACTGTATATATGTGACGTTGACTGTTACATTATGTTTCCATTGGTTGGCCTATGGAGTGAGGTGGGGTAAGGGTGTGGTCGGTCACACACAAACGTATCTATATGTAAAAAACATATTCCGTGTGTGACCAGTTTCCATGACATTATCCACTGTCTACCTACACCACGTGATATACAATTATCGATGAGAGTAACTTATACAAGTTATATTATATATAATTTCTATTTTAAATTATAATTATACACTTACAATGAAAATTTGCATCAGTGTTCCTCATGTTATAGATGAAATCATTTTCTCAATTCCACAATTCCTTGCCGGAAAATGAAAATGGTGGACAATGTATACTAATTAAAAATTGGATATTTATATAATAAAAAGTAATATAGAAAATCTGTAAATTCAATTCCTTTGCATTTGTGGAGCTCTTTCACCCGGGATTTCTATGATGTTAGACTTCAATTATATCCACAGTAGAGGTAATGAGGTATAAAGATAAATCATATTGCAATTACAACAACGGAGCACCCAGTGTGCAGCAATTACAACAACGGAGCACCCAGTGTGCAGCAATTTCACAACGGAGCTCCCAGTGTGCTGCAATTTCACAACGGAGCACCCAGTGTGCAGCAATTTCACAACGGAGCTCCCAGTGTGCTGCAATTTCACAACGGAGCACCCAGTGTGCAGCAATTTCACAACGGAGCACCCAGTGTGCAGCAATTTCACAACGGAGCACCCAGTGTGCAGCAATTTCACAACGGAGCTCCCAGTGTGCTGCAATTTCACAACGGAGCACCCAGTGTGCAGCAATTTCACAACGGAGCACCCAGTGTGCAGCAATTTCACAACGGAGCACCCAGTGTGCAGCAATTTCACAACCGGGGTGGAGCACCCAGTGTGCAGCAATTTCACAACCGGGGTGGAGCACCCAGTGTGCAGCAATTTCACAACCGGGGTGGAGCACCCAGTGTGCAGCAATTTCACAACGGAGCACCCAGTGTGCAGCAATTTCACAACCGTGGTGGAGCACCCAGTGTGCAGCAATTTCACAACCGTGGTGGAGCACTCAGTGTGCAGCAATTTCACAACGGAGCACCCAGTGTGCAGCAATTTCACAACGGAGCACCTAGTGTGCAGCAATTTCACAGCGGAGCACCCAGTGTGCAGCAATTTCACAACGGAGCACCCAGTGTGCAGCAATTTCACAACGGAGCACCCAGTGTGCAGCAATTTCACAATGGAGCACCCAGTGTGCAGCAATTTCACAAATGAGCACCCAGTGTGCATCAATTTCACAACCGTGGTGGAGCACCCAGTGTGCATCAATTTCACAATGGAGCACCCAGTGTGCAGCAATTTCACAACGGAGCACCTAGTGTGCAGCAATTTCACAGCGGAGCACCCAGTGTGCAGCAATTTCACAATGGAGCACCCAGTGTGCAGCAATTTCACAACGGAGCACCCAGTGTGCAGCAATTTCACAAATGAGCACCCAGTGTGCAGCAATTTCACAACGGAGCACCCAGTGTGCAGCAATTTCACAACGGAGCACCCAGTGTGCAGCAATTTCACAACAGAGCACCCAGTGTGCAGCAATTTCACAACGGAGCACCCAGTGTGCAGCAATTTCACAATGGAGCACCCAGTGTGCAGCAATTTCACAACCGTGGTGGAGCACCTAGTGTGCAGCAATTTCACAACGGAGCACCCAGTGTGCAGCAATTTCACAAATGAGCACCCAGTGTGCAGCAATTTCACAACCGTGGTGGAGCACCCAGTGTGCAGCAATTTCACAACGGAGCACCCAGTGTGCAGCAATTTCACAACGGAGCACCCAGTGTGCAGCAATTTCACAACGGAGCACCTAGTGTGCAGCAATTTCACAGCGGAGCACCCAGTGTGCAGCAATTTCACAACGGAGCACCCAGTGTGCAGCAATTTCACAGCGGAGCACCCAGTGTGCAGCAATTTCACAACGGAGCACCCAGTGTGCAGCAATTTCACAACGGAGCACCCAGTGTGCAACAATTTCACAAATGAGCACCCAGTGTGCAGCAATTTCACAACGAAGCACCCAGTGTGCAGCAATTTCACAACGGAGCACCCAGTGTGCAGCAATTTCACAACGGAGCACCCAGTGTGCAGCAATTTCACAACGGAGCACCCAGTGTGCAGCAATTTCACAAATGAGCACCCAGTGTGCAGTAATTTCACAGCGGAGCACCCAGTGTGCAGCAATTTCACAACGGAGCACCCAGTGTGCAGCAATTTCACAACGGAGCACCCAGTGTGCAGCAATTTCACAACGGAGCACCCAGTGTGCAGCAATTTCACAACGGAGCACCCAGTGTGCAGCAATTTCACAAATGAGCACCCAGTGTGCAGCAATTTCACAACGGAGCGCCCAGTGTGCAGCAATTTCACAACGGAGCACCCAGTGTGCAGCAATTTCACAACGGAGCACCCAGTGTGCAGCAATTTCACAACGGAGCACCCAGTGTGCAGCAATTTCACAACGGAGCACCCAGTGTGCAGCAATTTCACAACGGAGCACCTAGTGTGCAGCAATTTCACAAATGTGCTATCACATGGCGTCAGTTTCTTTCAGTTGAACATATACCACACTTTCACACAATTGTGATTATTGAATGTTTGAAAAATGCATGATTGATACAAACAAAAATTGTATTCATGAACCATGGCTTAAATCTAAACTTGTATTGACTGGGGTTGAGGGTTTTGCGGCATACTGTCATTCAGATTGTACAAGAATGCCGTGACACCGTAGTACTCGTGTCCGATTTATACTAGTACACTCACACGTCAGTAATACCATACGACGGTTTATATAAAAATATTTCAACACTTATGCTAACAATCGCTTTATTTGGAGTCATAAGTAGTAACCGAGTATGCGTTATACGTTCCGAACACAGAGTGATGCGGTCACCGTATTACCCAAAATGAACAGTTTTAACTAGCGGTAACCTCTGCATCTTTTTTAGATTTACTACAAGGACAAGATGATAATTGATTTATTTTTGGTAACACTCCTGTCACTGTCGGCTGTCCATCTTTCATTAGGTTAGTATAAAGAGAAACTGAGGTATCTTTATTTGGCGTAGAAAACAATGTGAGCCATATTGACACAATTTCTAATATTTCAAAGAAAATATATTTTATTTCTGGTTTATATAGTTTATTTCGTGAAAGCTTAAAAACAACAGTTGCATTTGTCTTTCAAAACAGGACTGTACCTGTCAGCGCATGCAAATTAGATGCAAATGATATGCAACAAAGAAGAAAATAATGACACATTTCATTTATAACTTACACATTCGTATGATGTATGTTTGTTGATTACGTTTTGTAGGAGAAGACTGTGAGACCATCACTCTGACAGAGCCAACGGGGACATTATCCTCCCCGAATTATCCAAATAACTATCCACCAAAAGTAGACTGCACTGTTAATATTGTGCTACCAAACCCAAATGCGATTATTCTAGTGGAATTCGAGGATTTTTATCTCGAGAAACCTGATGATGGAATCTGTTTTGATAAACTAGAGGTAAATAATTCAGAAGCCGAATAACACCGGACAACACAAAAACGTATAGTATTTCAACTATACACAAAGAAAACCTAATACTAGTATTCATGATTCAATAAACCACTCAGCTGATTATCCGCGGGGTAAATACCAGAGAAAATCTACTGAGGAAATGTAAATAATTACATACAAACGAACAATCACATAGCAGCACGCAACATGCGATTTGAACATATACTATTAAAGCGGGGGGGGGAGTCGACACCTGCGCATGCGTCAGATTGCCAAAGCGTGTCATTGTTTACAAACAAGCGTCTACCCATGGGCCTTTGCGTTTTAGCGTGTGTTGTTATCGTCGCTCGGGACTCAATTCCCGCGCGTGCGCAGGTGACGACCCTCCCGCTTTAATTGTTGTCTTAGAAAATGACTCAGTTTGAGAACACATGCACAGTATTTTCACAACTGTGAAATACATGTACAATTTCATTTCGAAGGATAATGCTGATATATTCGTTACATAAATATAAAAACAGAGTAGATAGCAAAATGTGTTTATGAATGCCACTAACATATTTCTAATTTAGCTTTTCTCTGACGCGTTGCTCTGTCAGTGATTAACTGTCCAGGAAGTAATCACTCAATATCCAAGCTGTTTGTTTTGCATTTTGAAAAAGCTGCAATTCAGGGAATTTAATCTTAATTAATATAAACGACCAAATTCCTAAAATTTCAAATGAACATCGTAATGCGCCGGTATATATTTTATAGTACTCGAATTCGCGTACTATTAACTCATAGCACATTGAAGCGACTTTTACCGGACTCGTGCATCAGAGCGCTACCATTGTTTAAAGTGGGGCAACCAAAGTTATATTTGCGATACATGGTCGGGATTCTGCTACAATGATTATCTACGTTTACGTCAACAGATAACCGATAACATGTTCAGTGAAAACAATACTGTGCCATACTGTGGAGTTTTGGATGATTTTATTTACACGTCACAGAGTAATAATATCAGTCTTACTTTGCATACTGACAGTCACGTCGAGCAAAAGGGTTACTCAGCCACCTATAGGTCAGAAGGTGAGTTGCTTTTTGTTTCATTGCCATTTGAGATTACAATATACATGTGTGTGTTTAGGCTTGTATTTTATTGAAGGAATGTTGACAAAAACTTCCCAATTCACAGCCAGCAAGACAGCTCCCACAAGTTGCGCCCTCTATAGACGAAAGGCTTCTGTGACGTAGTTTGAACCGCCAATTCTGATTGGCAGTCGTACGAGAAATTTATATATTATAAATAATAAATAGTCAACCATATAATCAAACACAGTTGTCACAAATGAAACATCTACACTAATACAAAAATACCAGAAACAAACAGTGGCCAGTTATTACGCTAAGTATTTGTGTTTAAAACTGTATAACGTTCTACTCTAACTATTCCATGTGTGGTGATCATACGAAATCAGTCTAGTTCATATATAATTGTAAATAGCCATTATCATGACACTCCAATAATCCAAATAAGAGTGTATGTAACCAAGTAGGCACCTTAGCATTGGACCTATTTTTAGTCTGATCTCCATGCATTCAGTTCCAGAAAAGTTTTTTGACATTTCTTTTAAGTTCAATATGGATTTGTTTTCTACATAATATATAAAGTTTCATATTGGCAATTACTAGTGTTAAACTGTCATGTAATTAGTATCAATGTATCTGTACAAATTTAGCTTTTTCTATATCTGTAAATGGTTTGACCTGTTGATCTTTGTTGGGATAATAAACAAAAAAAAACTGTTACATCAGTTTATATAAAGATAATGTCTTTTCAGCTCCTCCAGTGTTTGAGAATTGTCCCGAGGATATAACGCTGAATGGTACAAGTTTCAATACCACTGTTTTATGGATTCCGCCGACTGCGATTGCTTACATAAGCGGCGATGATGTGAATGTTACGTCATCCCATACGCCAGGCGACTCATTTCCTCTTGGTAACACTACGGTGGTATACAGTGCCACAGTAGCGGACGGGAGTACGGCAAAGTGCACGTTTGTTGTCTCAGTACAAGGTAAAGTATTCGACATATGAATTTAGAGTTAAATTCGCATTCTGGTGAAGCAGTTATTGGGTGTTTCACTAAATGTGGTGCAAACTTGGTTCAACACTGGTGTTGAGGGACTGTGGTTCATATGAGTAAATGGTGTGGTGACCACAGATATACCGGATTTAAGGTGTTCCTTTGTAGTACACGTGTTTCTGAAACTGTACATCGTCGGTGCAAAATATTTACACAATTGCTAAAATTGTGTTTAGATGACTAAAATTCAATGAATATGGAAATACGTATGAATTCGTGACAGGAAAGGTGTACAGTGGACATTATATTTAAGGGGTTATTGGTTGCTATGGATATATGTTGCACTAAACTATTCTGTATACATTTAGTATACTGGTACTTGTATAAACATGCCGCGAAAAGTGCATTCAATGAACATGCATATATTAAAATGTACATAGATTATCTCTGTGTGAAATGATCATAAAATAGTATGTCGAAATCCGTGCATTTAGTGGTAATGATATGCAAGACAATGGGATTTCAATCAACATATTCAAATGCCGTCAACAAAACAATTGTAGGAAAGAAAGAAATCTGGAAGGTTTATTAGCAAGACCCTATACAATGCACACTGATTGTTTAATTATCTGCATTACACTAACATGGCTATTATGGTTGTATGAATTAGGGGAAATGATTAAATATCCAAAAGCTATGATTTACCCTGGAATTGACCTTGACTAGTATCACAAGTAGCAGAAGCAAAATACAGAATGATTAAAGCAACAAATTGGCAATCAGTGACAATCAGAGCCACTATATTGTGTAGTATATTTTCAAAAAAAACATCTCTCTTACAAACGTATGTCTAGAAAACAATAATTACAAAATTTAATGATTGGAAGATATATTTTGCTGGTATGAAGGCAGACGACATTGACGTCATATTCATTTTATAGACGGCAAATCTAACACACGACGGTTTTGATGTATGACACATATCTGGTAGATTTATATATAGTTGCTGCAATGTTTGACGTAGGGTGAGCTCGCACTTTGCAAAATACATGACATCACTTCTTAATTAAATGCCCTGAGGTTTATTTAATTTATTTAGTATATTACGACGCTCCGATGGAATTCCAACCATCACCACACTCCATAAATTGCGGAATGTCGATCTCTCTTAGGTAACGAGTCCCCACGTCATGTTGATTATCAGTTGTACTTGGTTGATAAGGCCATGTAGATGTATACCATTAATTCGTCCACAACCTGGTGCCTAGGCGGATGAAGTATGAAACATCATAAAATATAACACTATTTTTTCAATAAAGTGAATTAATTGAATTACTTGATAGACTAGTTAGATCAAGTGCATCTATACTGTAAAGAGTCAGAGTCTCGGACAACAGTCTATTTTTCACTCAAGTTTCTTTATACTGTTTCTTTGTACTGTACAGAATGCTGGTTGCATTAATCCATAATTGTTTTTATCCATAAAGACTTATGAAACATTTACGTATTCGTAAAATCCTCGCTGTTTTATTTGGAAACACGTATTTGTGTGTGTTTACAATGTGCTTAATTTTCATAAAAACGCATTTTAATTATTACTAAAAAAAAAACTGAAATTAGCACATAGACAAAGTACTGTTGTACTGGAACACATGGTCATGCTTATATTTGAATTGTTAAAATAGAACACAATTAAACATTAATAAACAAAGCATACTCTTCATAAAGATTAAGAATTGTCACAAGGTCACATGCATATATAAATAAATAAAAACCAGAATGTACAACAGTCAACACATACAACGTCATACGTGACTTATGAGAAATCAATTGAAACACTTTATTCAGTACAACAAGAATTGTTGTAAATACTCATCTAGTGACCGGGAATTAAGCCATTAGGGGCATCATCTGCGCATGTAACACTTACTTATCATGTACACCACACCATTCGCTATAAAATAAATGAATATATGCGTGTAAAATCTCTGCAACGAGGTATTTGAAAGTGTTTTCCGCAAAGTCTCATCCATATAATTGTGTGTCAAACGAAATATTTACGTGTTCAGACTGGGTGTTACTTTGGTGGTCATTATCATATATCAAATATGCACGGGAAATTTTACAAAGTCATATTATTTGTGTTGGAAGAAGAGTGCGAATATGCATTTTCAAAGCTGATTGGAATTAATGTATATTGAAAGTGATTACAACCATTGACTGATTGAAGACGGGCACACGTCGGTCGATACTACCACTGTACTGTCTTCGTGCATATTTTGATGTATCCTCGTTTTACACATACATGGCGAACTACAATGAACCAGACGAGTAATAAATGAGACAATGCATACAATGTATATTACCACAAAGTGAATACTAGTATATTAATATTAGCTGAGCCCTAACGTACAACAGGTCATACGCGTAACAAGATGACAAAGGTGCCAGCAAGACACATACTAGCGGACCAAGAATGATAATCGGACTTGACTCGGACACATAATTATTTAGGCGAATGTTTTGAAAGAGACAAATAGGTTATTCAGTCATCAAGTAGGTGCTCAATTTCGTTATACAAAAAGCCATATTACCAGGCTATAATGGATGTCAAGACCTGAAAGGTCGAGATCTGCTCACAATCCTTCGCGGCGAAGGCAAATTTTGCTAACATAACATAACATAACATAACATAACATGGTTCAGCTTGATTTTATTATCAGAGATGAACAGGATCACAATGTTTGCCAGAGAAAGAGACATACAGACAGAGATGACATACAATGTGAGAGTATATGTTCGTATTTCAGTTCAGGATCAGTTTATGTCAGTAATAATCTAATGTTACCTTTTTACAGCATATTTGATGTTTGTTAATTGTCCTGATGACATAACACTGAATAGTTCAAGCTCGGGTACCATTGTTTCTTGGACTCCGCCCACTGCCTATGCCTCTATAGAAGGTGGCGTGACATCGTCACATAATCCAGGTGACACATTTCCTGTTGGTAACACTACTGTGATATACGAAGCCACAGATGTAGACGGGAATACTGCAAGGTGCACGTTTGTTGTATCAATAGAAGGTACACTGCATCCGCATGTGTATTCAGTGACTATGCGATGATGAAATCACTACTGGCATGCTTTATCTCATCTTCTCTTGGGTCATGTGCACGTAAATGGAGAATCCTAATCTAGCTGGGCAGTGTGGTATGCGTCATCAAAGTCAAACATATCATACAGCAGGTCATGTCAAAATTACAGGTCGATAACAATCTGATTAAAATCTGATGTAGTGTA